CATTTACTGCAGCCTTTTCAAGGAAGAACCAGTGATTTTCTGCAGCTGGGGAGGGGGCACCGGGCACAAAGTGATGAGGGCAGCACGGGGAAGCGGGCAGGAATCTGTCCTGCGGGTATCGCTGGGGCACAGGCGGGCAGCACCCACAAATGCCGGGTGTTGATGCTGTCACCAGCCAAGTATTAAATTTGAGATCTCAAAAGAACACAATTAAGATGAAAAGCATTCGGCTTTTTTCCCCTCCAACACCTAAACATGCCAATGTTAAAATTGAAGTAACTTTTAGGGTATATTCGCTTTTACCTTTCTGTGGCTTTTAGAATTAATATCATAAAATAGTTGGCTTTGCTTCCTCTTCTTATAATGTGCTTCTCATGCCATTTAGCACAGTATAAATGTTTGTGCTCCCCCACAGGTCCAGCAAATTGTTTACTTTTACTTTATAAAATCCCTTATTTATAGTTTCTGGTCTTAATTTGCATTCATATTAGATTTTTTTTCAAAAAAATCAAAGAAATCTTTCGCATGCATCTCTGAATTCAGAGGGGGTGAACCCAGGCAGTTGTGGTGATACTGTGGGGTTAGAGGGAGTGCTGTGTGAGGGGTCTGTGCTGAGGAGAGGGGCCAGGGAGAACCATCACATTGGTGATGATGAAAATCAGGTATTTGTGCCAGATACTGCAGTGGAAATATCCTTTTATGTAGCAAGATTTGTGCCCAAGGGGCCACGTCAGGAATTGAGAGAAATCAAGCAATTGCAGAGGAATTGAGATGGATGACTCAGCAACGGGACAGGGCGGATGAAATGATGATTTCAAAGATGTTGTTACCAGTACATTGTCTAATTAGTAAATCAGTTTAATTTACCCGCTGGTGCTGTTCAGGAGGGTCGGTATCACAGCCCTTCCTGGGGCCACAGCCCACCTGAGATTTTCGTGCACCAACAGCCTGTCCAGTGCTCCCAAAAACACTTCCCATTCTTCTTCTTCTTCTTGTGCTTCCCGAGAAAGGTAATGAAGTTTCCTTTTTCTTTTCCTTCATTGTGTTTTGTGCTCAGACTGGGAGAGAACCAGAGATCCGGGGTGTTTGGATCCTGCTGTACTGTTTGTTCTCCAGAAGGTGGGCATTTTCTGTCTCTGGACTCCCTCCAGTTGGCTGGCACCAGCTGAACACTTGCCATTTGTTATTCTGTTGTGAAAATGCCGGGAGCTGAGGTTTATTTAGCAAAGTCATTCCTCTTGGTCCGAGATCTGTGTTACAGCGTGAGGGAAAAGAAGAGATGAACTTTCATAGTTAGGATGTCACCAAAGACTTTTGGTCAGACTGCAAAGCAGCAGCAGCAGGACTTCCTTACTGATTTTCCACCCCTCAAGTTTGGAGTTAATGTTTGGAAGGTTTTTTTTGCCGCCCACCAATTGGCAGAACAAAGGAAGGGATCCCACACGTGGCTCCACGCTGAGGAACTGGCACTGGCTGTGCTGGCAACCCCAACTTTTTGTTACTCACCATAGAGAGAAGACACCGAGTGCGATGCCGGATTGGGTCTTGCCAAATCCCAGTCAGAGATCGCAGGATGCTCTCGTTGCAAGGAGTCTGGAAAGCCCAAAATTGGCAACACAGAGCAGACCATTTGGCAGACGGTCTTGTCGTTCTTGGAGCCTAAGGCTGTAATTATGTCCTGTGTCCTCTGGAGAGGAGATGCCAAAGTTCCAGTCTTAGCAGGTGGCTTGTAAGTGAGGGGAGGAAAACAAGAGGGAATAGTGACTGTAAGTTAACAGCAAAAACATTAAAATGGGCCCTGATAAAGTTCTAGAGCTGAGAGATGCAGACGTGGCTGAGGGGGTTACACGAAACCTAGCTGAGAAAGCCCAGCTGGCTGGGTGGGAAGAATTATACCTTGGATGGGAGGAAACACTGCTTTTTCTAAATAAATTCTTACATGGTACGTTGGGTTAAAAATAAAAAAGGCAGCAGATTCAATATTGACATGATTCATTGGTATAAAAGGTCAGTGTGATGCCTTAGAAAGGAAGGTGTGGGGCAAGCTGCAGCGGGAGTTTTTATTTGCTGGAGACTTTACATTTTCAGAGCTGGTTTTAGCTTAGACTGTCATGTCATCCGTAAGAGAAAGCAATCGGGAGCACATGCCCGGCTTTTCATCCTGCTGCTGATTTATCATATCAATTTGTCGAGTGATTTATTGTCTGGTCCTTTTGGAGGATAATCGTATCCATTCCCCAAAATGAAAAGTGGTTTAGAATTTCTAAATTTCTATTTTAGTGTAGCCTCTGTTCTGGCTGTTGCACACAGAGGGGCTGATTCAACGCCAGGTTTTGGTTCATAGTGAAGAGTAAGGGAAATGTTGGGAATGAAGGTGTCTGGATACAAGAGGGAGTAAATTACCAGCTGATGTCCCTGTCTTCTGGGTGCTGTGCATGTTCTGCTCATTTCCTGTGGGTGAGTTCTTTTCACACTCAAGTCTCGCTGCTGTTTTTTAATAAGTCTCTCAGACTAATGGCCACTGGTACTTGCCTTCAGTCTGAGGACTTTTCTAAACTGTAATTTCTCACATGAGACTTGTTCATGACTCTCTTGATTTTCCTTGTGTGTGTTACACACGGCGAATGAAGTTCTTGTTGAGAGGACAGGACAGTTCCTTAGCGACACCCCGAGCACTGAAAGTTTCTCCTCTTCCTCTCTGGGGAATGAAACAGAGAAGTCTGGCTAAAAACCTGCAGTCCTTTCTCTAGAGACACTCATCCCGTGTTTATTCACTCCCCTCTACTTGAGAGTGCTCCATCCTGAAAGGTGGTTCTCTGCTCTTCTGTGTGCAGTGATTGCAGCTCCAGCATCGGGCTGGTGGCTCCTTCCCTCCCCTCTGGCAGGAGCCAGGCTGAGCTGTATGATGGGTATGAAGTCCCTGAGGCCACCAATGCTCCAGAGTCTCCCCTCTAAAGCACACTCTGCTCACTTGAGTCCCCACCAGTGTTGTCCTCCCGTGACCCTCTGCTGGGGCATCTCTTGGCACGCGTTCACCTTGATGTCCCACCACAGGGCTGTGAGTCGGCGATTCCTCCCTCGTGTGACATTTCCTCGCTGGATTGTTGGGGTTGAAGCCTTGAATGTCAGATTTTGCTCGTCGTTGGTGTCTCACACCACCTTTCTCATTAGCAGTGATGTAGCAGTTTAGAAGTTGCTGCACAAGCTCTATTTCTGGACCCGGTTTGCGTGTGTGCACAGCAGTAGGACTCTGCGTTGCAAATTCCCTGCAGTCTTTTGGTATAAAGTAGTATTTCTGAATTAATGAAATGTCACAGATAAAACCAGAGCCGGACATTTAAATACCCAAGTGCCTTGAGACTCACCCCAACTGCTGCTACAGCTCTGGTGGATTTATGGAGAGGAAAGTTGTTTGCTGGACAGTAATTGCTAAAATATGATTGGTTTAGCTACGGACAGTCATTAAGTGTTGCTGAGTTTTAGCAAAAGCTTTTCAGAATGCACTAAATACTGCCATTGCATGTCACTGCTCCTTCGTGTAAGCGCAGACTTGTGTTTGCTGTCATATAATTATGCATTTTCGCTGTGGGAAGATGCAGGTTATAGAATCACAGAATGATAAGGGGTTGAAAGGGACCTCTGGAGATCACTGCAGTCTTTTGGTATAAAGTAGTATTTCTGAATTAATGAAATGTCACAGATAAAACCAGAGCCGGACATTTAAATACCCAAGTGCCTTGAGACTCACCCCAACTGCTGCTACAGCTCTGGTGGATTTATGGAGAGGAAAGTTGTTTGCTGGACAGTAATTGCTAAAATATGATTGGTTTAGCTACGGACAGTCATTAAGTGTTGCTGAGTTTTAGCAAAAGCTTTTCAGAATGCACTAAATACTGCCATTGCATGTCACTGCTCCTTCGTGTAAGCGCAGACTTGTGTTTGCTGTCATATAATTATGCATTTTCGCTGTGGGAAGATGCAGGTTATAGAATCACAGAATGATAAGGGGTTGAAAGGGACCTCTGGAGATCATCTAGTCCAACCCCCTTCCAGAGCAGGTCCACCCAGAGCAGGTTGGATTCATCCAGGGGGGGTTGGGATGTCTACAGAGAAGGAGACCCCACCACCTCCCTGGGCAGCCTCTTCCAGGGCTCTGCCACCCTCAAAGTGAAGAAGTTCCTCCTCATGTTTAGATGGAACTTCTTATGTTCAAATTTGTCCCCATTTCTTCTTGTCCTGTCACTGGGCACCAAATCGACCAACGTGGGGAATAAAGAGTTGCCCATAAACTTGGTGGTTCTTCAGTGTTGGCACAGCCCCTGTGGAGCAGACCTTGGGGGTGTGAGCCGGGGGGGCAGAGTCACAGCTTGCACACAATGACACTTCCCAGGGCAGCTCAGGGGGCGCGAGGAGGGAATGAAGCCCATACCTCAGATAATGGGGATAAAAACCCCCATGTCCATGTTCTGCTTCTGAAAATCAGATGGGATCTGGGGTTTTTTGTTCTGTGAAAAACATTTCCCCCTTCCCACTCACTCCACAGAAACGGATGTTAATCCCTCCTTTTGTGGAAAGGTAGGGAAGGTGTAGGAGTAAGCAGGGCTTGACAGAAATTGCAGAAGATGGATCACTCCCTCACCCAGCGAGCTGTGCTGGTGTGGTCCTGCCGGCAGCGCGGGAGGTTGGTGGGTACAACGAGGTCAGGTGCTTGGGGACACAGCCAGGGAGAAGCTGTGGGAAGAATAAGAGATCAGCCAGGAGAGCCCGAGAGGCAGAGGAGAGCCCTGGCCAAGCTGCTCACAGCAGAAGTTGCCCAGGTTTTCCCAACGTGGCACGTGGAAGCGTGCAAGGGACGTTCAGCCCCTACTGAACACCCTGATCTGTTTTAAACTTCACACATGTGTTGGGTGGGTGGTTGTGTCGGGAATCGTGTCCCCTTCACCATCAACGTGTCTCTTTCTCATCGAAGTGACTAATCTCTTTTTGCTCTTCTCTCCTAGATCTCAGACCTAATACGACAAAGCACAAAGGAGTCCCCAGTCTGGGAGTTCCTCAGCTTGGGGTACGCGCTCATGCTCTGCCCGTTTGTCGTTGTCCTAGGAGGGATGTTTTTCCTGGCCACAGCCCTCTTCTTCCTCAGTGACCGAGCCAAAGCTGAACAACAGTGAGTAACCTGGCGATTGCAAACGGGGAGGTACCTCAGCCTGTTTTCTCTCTTGAACGTTGTGCTCGTACTCTTCCCCTGGCCTCGGTCCTTCCAGGCCAAGGTTGTCGGGTTGTGCGTGAAGAACCTCAGCTCAGCAGAGTGCATGAGGCTGCACGAAGCACAGGGGCTTGGGTCTTGCTGGCTGGGCATCCTCGACACGCTTCTGCTCTGGTGGATCTCCGTTGTTGGCTGTACGGCCCGGAGGGGAGCACAGAACCTGAGGTCACAGGTCCCTTGTGCCCTGGGGTGAGCATGTCACAGCCCTGGGGCCATCTGTGGTGAGGGGTTGCTGTGTGCTGGAGCACGTGGAGACTGCCAGGTGAAGAGCAGGAGATACTCCACCGAGCGTGGGGGTCAAACTCCAAGCCCACAGTCCCATCCAGCCCCCTGCTCACCCCCTCCAGCGCACAGCAACGTCAGGCAAGAGGAATAAAGCCGTGTACGTGGGGACATAGATGCTCAGGGGTCGCTGTATTAAAGATAGTCTTTCCCAGTCCCTTCTTGCAGCTTGTTAAAAAAAAAGCTACTGTTTTTCAGTAACGAAACCGATTCGGACCACCTCACGGTTGGCAACTACAGTAATTCGGAAGACGCTTCCACATGACATACAAACTGCTGGGGTTAGTCTCTTTCTCATAATTGTCGAAAAATAAGAGTATCTGTGTATAATGTCATGCTGAATATGGGGCAGGTGACTAGTTTGGTGTTGACTATAAGTTGCCTTTGCCTTGTTCCCGTTGGGAGAAGGAGAAGAAGGAGGAGGAGGAGGTATTGTTCCTGTGGCGTGGCTGTGGTAAGTTGCCTTTGCCTTGTTCCCATTGGGAGAAGGAGAAGGAGGAGGAGGAGGAGGAGGTATTGTTCCTGTGGCGTGGCTGTGAGAGCCCTTTGCCTTGGTTTGAGACTTGTAATTCTTGTAATTTCAAGCATCAAACATCCACAGACATCCACGTCAGGGGGAATGTCACATGAGTGGGCTCTCCCTCTGTAGATGTTGCTGCGAAAGGGTTTGTATGGGTTTAATGACACAGACACAGGTGTGTGGAGTGAGGAAATACAACACAGGCTTGTTAACAGCACACGGAATTCTGCAGAGTGTTCCATGTTGTACCCTAAAGAGAAGGGCCCTGGCATATCCCTGTCACCAGACGTATCATGACTAAAAGGAAAATAAGGTGTTTGGAGGTTGACATAAGTGTGTGGACGGTTGTGGTGATACTTCCTGGCTCGTGCAGTCGTATCAGATGGACACAGGAGGTTTGGGAGCAGTGCCACAGATGGTGCTTGGGTCCTGTAAGAGCGGTTCCCCCTTCCTTTTATTAACATGCACAAATACCAGAGAAAGGAAAGGTTTTCTGCCTCCCGGTGCCTTTAGATATATACATTCTCCCTATAATGAGGTGTTTAAAAATGGTGGAAAAAACAAGACTTCATCATGTATCCTGTAAGGGGGTTAAGTCCTGCACAGCTGAGCTTGAGTGTGGCTTTGGAGATGGGACATGACTGATGTGTGCCTGGTTTATTATCTGCATATAAAGGCTTTAAATTAAATTTTAAATTAAATTTAAATGAAATCGGAGATTAGATCTTAGGAAGAGGTAAATGGTACAGCAGATTATTTGGAGAAGGCATGAAAGCTGTGCTGTGTTTCTGAAAGCCTCCCTGGCTGGGTCCTGAGGCAGGAGGACGGGAACCGCTCTCCGGCTGCCTCCCAGCGCTGCTTCTGCCACCCTGCACAGAAGCTGTAGGTGCAAGGCCAAGCAGTGACCACCTGGGGACATGGCGAGATGACCATAAGCTTCTAGAGGCTCAGGGTGGCTTTGTTTGCTGGAAGGAGCCAAAAGTTCTGTGCAGTGATTGGGCAGTATGACAACGCAGCAGATGAAATCCCCCTCGTGCAGCCACAGCCTCAGCCTTCGCTCAGGGCCCCACCAGTTTCTAGGAGAACTTCAGTGTTTGTCTTCATTCAGAGGAGAGAGGGCTCATTCCACTCAGAATTATGGTGATGTGTCCCCTTGTGCTGCAGGTTGCCAGCACGGTGTGACGGCATCTCAGGTGGTGAAGGAGGGTGTTGGTGTTCAGGTAATGAGGAGTTCTGGGTCATTCCTGTCTTTCTCAGGATGTTTAACCCCCCCAGACCTTTATACCGGGCAAGCAGTGGGGTCCCCAGGGCTCCAACAGGGTTCCCACAGAACAGGCTTTCTCAGGAGGTGCTGGTGAGCACAGGTTGGTTGCTCACTGGTTGACTCTGCTGGTTGACTCTGCTGGTTGCCAGCGCGAGGGTTTGACTGGGTAGTTGTAGAGTGCACCAAAGCACCAGCTCTGTAGCTGTGTTACTGTAGGAGGGAGATCCCATCCCACAGCTGCTGGTTGACTCTGCTGGTTGCCAGCGCGAGGGTTTGACTGGGTGGTTGTAGAGTGCACCAAAGCACCAGCTTCGCAGCAGCATTACTGTAGGAGGGAGATCCCATCCCACAGCTCCACCTTCTCCTGCATTAAAGTGTTTATTTCTGGCTGTTGCTGCCTCTCCTGAGCAGCTTTGGCTGTGCTCTGTCCATGTCCAGAGCGTACCCGCTGCCCAGCCAGTCACCAGTCCACTTCTTGAAATGTGTTTCTTGAAGAAACACATTTAGGGTTCAGACCTAGTTTTGTATCTCTCTCCCTTTCAGCATCCTTCCCTTTTCCCGTTTGTCTGATTCCCATTTGTTTATGAATTTTATATTATTTCGCCACTGAGCTGGCTCAGACACAGAGAGAACAGTTGTCTTAAATAACGGTTAGCGAAATAACTTCTCTCAAACGACTTCAACTGGGCTGTTCCTGGGATTTGCCCACTCCTGAGTTAAAAATACCCTGGCGTCCTGCAGCCAGATTCCTGGAGAGCACAGCTTAATTTGGGGTTTGAGACGGGACCGAGCAGCAGGATGGGATCTCGACTAAGGCTGGCACCGGCGGGTGAGGCTCCTCTCCTGCCACCTCTGTGCTGTGGATGGGTCCTGTCTGCTGCCACCACTGAGAGGTTCAGTGGGCTCCTGGAAGAATTTGTGGGGGAGGATTTATTTGTTATTAACCACATGCCTGCCTGGGAGAGAGGAAACAGCAGAACGTTTTGCTATTAGCAGCTTAAAACTCCGTGCTGGCTCCAAATGGGATGTCCAGCTCCCACCCATCCGATGGACCATCTGCACTTGGCATCTCCCACCTTTGGCAAGGGCAGATTTCTGCCCGGTCCATCCTCCCTCTCACTGGGGATGGCAGAATTTCTTTTTCAAGACGCCTTGTTTTCCCTCTGCAGCCGGTCCCGCTGCTCAGACACCGGGACTTGGAAATGGGCTTTGCCAAAAGAAATCAATTAACCTGCAGGAATCACAAAGGCCGGAGTCACACGCCAGAGATTAAACCCATTCATCACCAGTGGGGTCAGGGCACGGGGGGCAGACTCAGGGACCTCTCTAATGAGCTGAGGTGGAAGCAGAGCGCTGTAACGCTGCTCTCGGCACCTCTGCCTGTGCAAATTGAGCTTTCCCTCCGTTCATTTCCACGCTTCTGTGAAAAATAGTTGAGGGTTTTATTGCTGGGATTTTTGCGTTTGTTTGTTCCTTTGTGTACTGGTCTCTGGGCGTTTGCTTAGAGATAATTCCTTCTGCCAGGCAGGACAGGGTATCAGGATAGCAACCTCTCTTTCCTGTAAAGCTTCCTCCAGTTTCCACCACGCTTCCTTCCAAAAACACAATTTCCAGGCTTTCAGCGCCTCGTGACTTTTTTTTTTTTTACACTACTTTTATCATTGCCACAATTCCTGGCATATTTTGTAGATTGCGTTTTTAGCACAGGAATTCCAGTCAATAAGGCTGCCCCTCTCACAAAAACACTCCTGAGAAAAAATTCTTTAGACAGCAATTCTTTTTTTTGTTGTTTGTTTGTTTTTTTTAAATCACAATTCTTTTGTAACTATTTTCATACTGCCTCACAAGTCTGACAGCTTGAAGAGGCTTTTAGCAAATTTAGGACTAGCAGAGAACACAATGCAGCACGTCACCCTGTAATACAATCCAATCTTTTGTGGTGCAATTTTTATAACACAAATTTAATCCAACCCTTCCAAAGTGCTAAGAGAGAGAAAATGGCTAAGAATGGTGCGTGTAAGAGCTCTTAGGCACTAGTAATAACAAATACTTCAGTTCTTTTTTAAACCACTCCACTACAATTCCTGCTGTGATTTCACTTGACTGTATTGTTGTTCCATTCTGTAGTGCTGCAGTGGAGCCTTAAACCCGTCGTATTTTATTTCCAAACACGACTGCACTCTGTGCTGTGTTTCTCTTAACCTGCTTGATGAAAATTTGTGAGACCCAGGCTGTGCTGTGAGACGCTCAGGAAGACGATACGCAAAAGTAGAGTACCTTGCCATGGCAGAGCCCTACAGAAACGGATCAGAAATCTCATGATCCTACTTTTATTCCCCAGCTCCATCACTGACACCCTCGGCAGGAGCAGCCAGAAAGCAGCTTCCCGAGGCCAGGAGTACTTCAGGCACTTCACTTCTCAGAAGTCAAAGCTCAGCACTGCCCAGAACTGTGTCTCTGCTCTGTCCGAGTCCCCTTCTTCACTCATAATGCAGATATAACTTGAAAAGCTTCACTCCAGACTGCTGCAGAAGAAATGTGGTACTTATTACAAGCATTGCTGTACTTATTAGAAGCAATCGCTTCACCAGCAATTGGGAAGGAAGTGCTTTTTTTATTATGAAAAGGGAAAAAACCCCACCTCCTTTCCCCAAGCTGTGACAACTTTTGGGTGCCAGGGTGGATAAATGACTGTAATGTAATTAGTGTGTAACGTGATGTTTTCCTGGGCAGTGGGGGTGAGTGTGAAGCCCCCGGGGCTTTGCTGAGCAATGGTGCCCTGTCCCTCCTGGGCACAGACCCGTGGCACCGCTGCTGCTCTGCGGTGGGCACAGG